AAATTTATTATGAAATATTTCACCCATATTCTTATTCATCTGTGAGTCCTCACAACAAACAGTCCTTACATGTCATTGCAATTCAAATATTTATGGAATGACTAAAATAATGCAAAGGGTCTCATGAGCAATTAATTACTAGGGGAGTCTAACTCTGAGAAAGTGGACCTTCTCATATTAGGAGATATTATAACTTGGAACCAAAGCAAAGAGATTCATGTTATATGCCCTAGAGGCCACTGCTTCAGAAAAATATCTGTGGCTCACCCATATCCAGGTTGCAGCAGGAATCCTGATGTCAAGTCACTGGATTGTGTATCTGTGAGACATTTTTAGGGACTTATTAATACACAATTAGCAAATTTTCTCTAAGTTTTTTTCACTCATTTTAACAAATACCTATGCCTACTGTATGCTAGGCATTTACAGAAGCTAACTACCATATGTGGGATGGGTTTTCTCCTGCTCTGGTGGTTAATAGTAAAGTTAAAGGCCCAGGGTGGGGATGATTTTGATGACAAATAAATGGATACAGGGTTTATGAATGTTAATCCAACATAGGTCATTAAGAGATGATAATTGATCCATATTTTCCCCTCCTTCAGTAAGAATACCTCAGTACCCTGGATGGTCACACATACTACCTCTTTCTCTTTTACATGTGTAGGTAAACATGATTGGTTTACATGGTCTTTCTCTTCAAATATTTTCTTTTGGGAAATCAGACAAGCTTTACTTAGGAACTTTCTTGACCTTTCCCCCACCTCCATTTAGATTCTCTTAATCATTCCTTCAAAGTGAATTTTTTCCTACCATATTTCTTTGATGTCAAACCTATGCAAGCAATTCTGGAAGGTGCTTGGGAATAGTAAGAGATAATTTTTCCCCTTCTGAACTATATCCTAATTGCTATGAATTTTTCTTGCCTTGTAACAAGTTTATTATTGACCAAGTCATATTTTTAGATTGTAGTTAATACCATCATTAAAACAGAGTGTAACCATGGTAGCAAACCAATAGCAATCAATCTTGTTTTTCTTTTTTCTTTCTTTTGGTATTGGGGACTTAATACAGTGACACTTTACCACTGAGCTACATTCCCAGCCTTTTAAAAATTTTTATTATTGGGGCTAGGGATGTGGCTCAAGTGGTAGAGCGCTCGCCTGGCATGCGCGGGGCACTTGGTTCAATCCTCAGCACCACATAAAAATAAAATAAATAAAGATGTTGTCCACTGAAAACTAAAAAATAAATATTTAAAAAATTCTCTCTCTCTCTCTCTCTCTAAAAAAAAAAAAAAATATTATGAAACAGGGTGTCACTAAATTGCTGAGGCTGACCTTGAGTTTATGATCCTCCTGCCTCAGCCTCCTGAATCACTGGGATTACAGCCATGTATAACCTGGCATCACCCTTATATTCTTGTTTGAACAGTCCTGACATCATTGACACTTCCTTTTAGAAATATTCTGTAACTTCTGTCACTGGCCATAGCTCAGAAGTAGAGTGTTTGCTAACATGGGCAAGGCTCTGGGTAAGATCACCAACAACACCACAAAAAAAAAAAAAAAAAAAAAAAAAAAAAAGAGGGGGGGGGGAATATTCTATCACAGTGGGAAAGGGGATAGATAGACCTCGAATTGGGTGGGCTTCACATATGCTCATGCTTGGCACACAGTATGATGCTTCTAGAGTTGTTGTTTTAAATATTTTTTTAGATGTTGATGAACCTTTATTTTATTCATTTATATATATGCAGTGCTGAGAATCAAATCCAGTGCCTCATATATGCTAGGCAAGTGCTCTGCCACTGAGCCACTACCCCAGCCCTAGGGTTGATTTTGTTATCATTGCTGTTGTTAACATCTTCGCAGTCATGATCACCTTCAGGTCTAGAGTCCTTATTCAGAAGAAATAGCTTGGTTTTCTCAGTTAAGGATTAATAACAGCAACTCCTAAAAGATGAGGAAGAATATATCTGATTGAATGGTCTCCAGCTGTGATTTCCTTATTCTGAACTCAGGAACCATGATTAAAATTTAGGTCACAGGGCTGGGATTGTGGCTCAACAGTAGAGCATTTGCCTAGCATGTGTGAGGCCCTGGGTTCGATCCTCAGCACCATGTAAAAATAAATAAAATAAAGATATTGGGTCCTACTACAACTAAAAAATAAATATTTAAAAGAAAAATTTAGGTCACAGTCTTCTTGATTGTATTTTAAATGTGAGGCGTACATACGATAGTAGTGAGTAGAAGGGGTACAGACCCACTAGATGTTGATTATTATTGCAAATCTAATAATTTAATGGAAATTTCAAAGTGATTTTTTTTTTAATTGGGAGTTGAACCCAGGGGCACTTTACTACTAAGCCACATCCCCAGCCCTTTTTGAGACAGGGTCTCACTAAGTTGCTTAGGACTTGCTAAATTGCTGAGGCTAGCCTTGAACTTGGGATCCTCCTGCCTCAGCCTGCAGAGTGTCTGGGATTACAGGCGTGTGCCATTGCACCCATTTTAAAGTGATTTTTTTTTTTTTTTTTTGGTATCAGGTATTGAACTCAGAAGCACTTAACCACTGAGCCACATCTGCAGCCCTTTCTATGTTTTATTTTGAGACAGGGTCTTACTAAGTTGCTTAGGGCCTTGCTAAATTCCTGAGACTGGCTTTGAATGCAATCCTCCTGTCTCAGCTTCCAGAGTCCCTATGATTACAGGCATGCGCCACTAACCTAGGAAAAGTGATTCCTAAAGTACTGCTATTTTTAGTACTGGGAATATGATGTTAAGACTTATTTGCTTTGTTTTGTCCTGTTATATTAAAGTTACTTAGGATTGAGGGTATATTGCAATGGTAGAGCACTTGCCTAATATGAATGAGTCCTGGGTTTGGTCATCAGCACCTCAATAAATAAATAAACAAAGTTCCTTAAAAACATGCATGTGTTTTCACACTGCTCTGCCTTATTGACCACATTATGTGCCTATCATCATCATTACAGAAGAATAATATATACTCCTGGCATAGAGTGTAAACAGTGTAAATAGATGCACATTTGTGATTGTGCATAGTGGTAAAGATTGGAACTACCTGTTTCTACACATTTTAGCCTGAGCAAAGATTTTTACTTTGAAGGTTTTTAAGAATCAGAGGTATGAAATGTAAGAGGCACACTTCACATTAATTAAGATTCTATTGCAGGAAGATTCTCTCTCTTTGATATTTGTGTTTCTCTTTTTATTTTTCCTTTATTACCCCAATTCTTACCACTACCACCAGAAAAGGGAGGGAATCTGGAGATAAAATTAGTATTCATCTCCAGGATGCTAACTACTCTAAGGAAGTAATACCAGATAGGTTTGTATTACAAAGTGCTTTAAGCCAAGGGAGAACTAGAGCATGAATGTAATGTAGTAAAATGCACTATGTTATATGTAATTATACAAATTTAGGCAGAGTGTTAGCAATCAAAAATGTGAATGCTAAAAGCCTTATTAGAGCATAAGGGTATAAAATGTGCCATGACAGAAGGGACCCATGTTTCAGCTAGTAATGAATTTTTTTAAAAAAAAAAGAGAGAGAGAAATTTTTTTTTTAATTTTTTTTTATATTTATTTTTTAGTTTTCGGTGGACACACATCTTTGTTTGTATGTGGTGCTGAGGATCGAACCCGGGCCGCACGCATGCCAGGCGAGCGTGCTACCGCTTGAGCCACATCCCCAGCCCCGAGAGAGAATTTTTTAATATTTATTTTTCAGTTCTTGGCGGACACAACATCTTTGTTTGTATGTGGTGTTGAGGATCGAACCCGGGCTGCACGCATACCAGGCAAGCGGGCTACCGCCTGAGCCACATCCCCAGCCCTAGTATGGCATTTTGACTCCATCAAAAGTGCTTAGAGGGGGCTGGGGATGTGGCTCAAGCGGTAGCATGCTCGCCTGGCATGCGTGCGGCCCGGGTTCGATTCTCAGCACCACATACAAACAAAGACTTGTGTCCGCTGAAAACTAAAAAAAGTAAATATTAAAAAATAATAAAAAGTGCTTAGAGAATGAGCAGGTTCTGGTTGCCTGTCCTGATATCACTTGTGAAAAATTAGAGATGTTTCATCTCAAATCCCAAATTTCCTTGAACATAATATAATTGTCATTCATCTAAACTTTTAAAAAATTAAAACTTTTGATTAAATCCCTATTAGTGTTACAAATTTTATTTTACCGCCTTATATGATAATGAATTTCCTCTTACTCTCCAAGTTTAAAATAATTTTCAAGTTCCTGAGAGTACTTTGCAGTTCTCATTTTTTATTCTGTGAATAATATGTTTACTTATACCCTTTGTGATTCAATAGGTGTGTATTTCTTCATCTTTTTTTCGGAGGGGGTACCAGGGATTGAATCTAGGGGTGCTTAACCAGTTTTTTATTGTTATTTTTATTTTTTTGAAACAAGGTCTTGCTAAGTTACCCTAGGACCTCACTTCTTCATCTTTTTTTTTTAATGAAACCTAGACTTTATTAGTCTTGTCTCATTGCACAGTGTACCTAAGGTGTCAACATTACATTAATCATGTTCTGCAACGTCTGTATAATAAAAACATTCCACTATAACATAAACCTTTAGCAGGTTTCTTTTAGCTCATTATTATTCCTGGAAGATAGGTAGAACAAGTATATAGTTTCTTATTTTATGGCAAAGGAATTCCTGTAGTTTAATTTTTAATTTTTAGTAGTAGCTGGACACAATACCTTTATTTTATTTATTTTTACATGGTGCTGAGAATTGAACTCGGGGCTTTTCACCGGCTAGGCGAGAGCGCTCCATTGCTGAGCCACAACACCAGCCCATCCAGTAGTTTTTAATTTTTTAATTCTCCTGTTGAGTTCATTGCAATTAATGTTTAGAATCATTTTTCCCCCCATGGAGCCAGGGTCTTACTCGATCTCCAACATCTCAATGTACTATCTTTCTGACCTTCTGTTCTTCATACCTCCCTACAGCCCTATGTGTCACTGGCTCATCAGATGGCACCACCTAGTCCAAGCAACAGCACCCCTAACAGCAGCAATGGGAGCAGTGGGAATGACCAGCTGAGCAAAACCAACCTGTACATCCGAGGATTGCAACCAGGCACTACTGACCAGGACCTTGTCAAGCTGTGTCAACCGTAAGTTGTGGTATAAGTGGGTAGGCTCCAAGGGACAGTACAGATTTGGTGATACTGGCTTTTTGCCAGATTTTCTTATCCTAAAATGCAGTATTATGTTTCTACCCAATAGTCCCATGGTGTCTCAGCATCTCCTCTTTTTTTTTTTTTTTTAATTTTTTTATTATGAGACAGGATCTCACTAAGTTGTTGAGGCTGGCCTCAAAATTGCAAACCTCTACCTTAGCCTCCCAAGTCTCTGGGAGTACAAGCTGCACCACGGTGCTTGGCTCAGCATCCCCTCTTAAAAAGTTCTCCCTGTTGGGCTGGGGTTGTGGCTCAGTGGTAGAGCACTTGCCTAGCATGTGAGGCACTAGGTTCGATTCTCAACACCACATATAAATAAAATAAAAGTACATTGATAACTAAAAAAATATTTTTAAAAAATTCTCCCTGTTGCTGGTTTATAAAATATTTATGTATTTCTCTAAGGGAAGCCAGGATGGGGCTGGCCTTTGAAGCCAACTTTGTTTCTGGTATCTTCTCTGGCTTAATGAAAATATTGCTGTCCTTATACCTTGGCCATAGAAATGCTCAACCTCTCTATAGATACTGATTAACAGGTGACAAGAGCTGGCAGCAAGGATAGAAGAAAGTGGGACTAGCTAATTTTATATACAAGTTGGAGAGTTTCAGCTTCTGGGATGTTCCTAGTGAATCAGAGCCACTTTCATATTAATGAATAAAGAAGAAGGTGGAGAAAGAGGCTGTCACTCTCATCTAACCTATGAAGAACCTTCAAATCATAGGTCAACTACCTTGGAATTGCCCAATAAGGAATGCTGAAAAAACAGAAGAGTGCGGAGATACCCAGCTCAGTTTCATTTGGCAGGAAAGCATGCATTTCAGATACTATGTCTGAAGGAGTGATTAGAGGAAGAAGTCTGGGAGTGGGATGGGGAGAGCGAAAGAACGGAATTTGGGTCAATGAACGTTGGGAAGAGGTAGAAATATGAACTATGTACATTTACTATCTTTTATAACTCCTTATTGAAATACAATAAGCATAAAGAAAAGAAAAGTAAACAAATCAAACCTATAGGTAGTGAGGTGACTTTTCACAAAGGGAACATAAACTTGGAGCAGTCTAGAAACAGATCAAAAAACAGAACAGTACCAACTCTTTAGAACTTCACCTTCCATGATATTCCTGCAAAGTGTCACTGTTGGCTTCTGCTTTGCTGGTTTGTTTGTTGTTGTTGTTTGTTTGGTTTTGGTGCTGGGAATTAAACCCAGGATCTTTCACATGCTGGGCACGCTCTCTACCATCAGTTACACCCCCAGCCATTTTTTCTTTTTTTTCCCTTAAATTTTGAAAAAGGTCCTTGCTTAACTGCACGGGCTAGTCCTCAAACCTGTGATCCTCTTGCCTCAGCCTCCCAAGTAGCTGAGATTACAGTCATGCAACACTATGCAAGGTCAAAACTTAATTTTTATTGCTTATATATTTCCATCATAGGACTATAACAGTTAGTTACTTATTCTGGACATTTGAATTGTTTCCAGTTTGTAACTATTGTCAATATAGTATGCTATGAATTTATACACATCTTTTGGTGCATGTGAATAATGCATTCATGCTGGGAGTATACACTAGGAGTAAAATTGCTGGGTTGCTGGGTGCAGTGGTGCACACCTATAATCCTAATGGCTCAGGAGGCTGAGGCAGGAGGATCACGGTGTTCACAAAGCCAGCAGCAAGACTATCTCAAAATACAAAATAGGGGTGGGGATGTGGCTCAGTGGTTAAGTGGCCTTGAGTTCAATCAACCCCTGGTACCCACCCCCCCCAAAATTGCTGGGTTACAGGACATGCATCTATGCAGATTTTATAGATAACTATTAAATAATTTTCTGAAGTAATTTAACTAATCCTTGCAGTGTGTGTAAATTCCATCTGCTCCAAATCCTGGAGAGGAGAGGTAGAATATCTCGCTGTCCAAGATGTAGCAGTATGAGACATTCGAGATGCTTTATAAATCCCTTTTTCTCCTGAAGTTGTGAGTTGGTCCAGGCAGATCATGTGGATTTTTACTAGCACCAGGCCACACAAATTCTATCTCTAAAGGCTAGGTAGGTGTGTGTGTGTGTGTGTGTGTGTGTTTGTATGTGTGTATTTCTTCCCTTATATCAGTTTACCTTGCTAGAAAAGTTTGTAAGTGGGATGTAGAGAACATAGTCTAGGATTAGTGCATTCTGTGGGGAGGTGGGAATGGGCAGAACTGTTGGTTATGAGTATTATATCAATCTAGGTCCTTGATTTCTCCATTCTTTATTTCTTGTACTAAATATAATGCTAACAAAAATCCTATTACAGTACAAGACAGAGAAGAAACTCAATTTTATTTCTTTATACTTTTAGAATTTGATCTGAACAATGTCTGAAGGGATGAAAAGTCAGGGTCAGCATGTAGGATAGAAGGAAGGAGCCCAGAAGAAGGAGAAGGCTGAGAAGGGCAGGTGGTGGTATTCTGGTGGGTGGGTGAGCAAAAAATCCAACCTTTTTAGGAAGGGTGTTTCTCATGCACAGAAGGACTTCCTGTCTTTGTCCCAGTGGTCTCTTCCTGGGTTGTCGAGGAAGTAAATGTTGCTGGATCCTAAACTCTGGTGGGCCGGAAAGAGAGGCGTGGTCTAGGACTGGAGCTTCTGGTTCTCTTGGAGGGGCTCCTTCTGAGGAGGAAGCAGCAGTGACCCAGCTGTTGCCAGCTGCAGTGGAAATTCTGAGCTCAGAGTCTCAGGCTGTTAGACCGCAGCAAACTCCACCCTGGGGCCTTGATAGGGATAGCAGCGTGTGTGTCCTCTGGCCTGCAGTCAGACTTGTCATGGGTCTTTCCTCTTACTTGAATTTGGGAAAGAATCCAAGAATGTAGCTCTGAAGGGCTAGGATGGCCACATCCATCCCCACCCCTCCTTTTATGTGCTCTTTTCCCAGTCTCCAGGGCCCTGCTTGGCTTATTCTGTCTGATACTTTGGGTCACAGAAACTCCACTAAAAAAGTCAATGAGAGGTCTCCATGGAGTGAAAACAGATGGATCAATCAGATATGTTCTTTAGGGATAAGAGGAGAGATGGACAATAATGGTTGTTTGGGTATTGGTCTCAAATTCAGTCCCTGCCAACTCTTGTATTTCTAACTTTGTTAGTGGCTTTTATTCTGAATCTTTAATATTTTCACCTTCTTTTTTAAAATATCTTTTTAGTTGTAGATGGACACACAATATCTTTGTTTATTTATTTTTTATGTGGTGCTGAGGCTTGAACCCAGTGCCTCACACCTGCAAGGCAAGCACTCTACCACCAAGGCACATCTCCAGCCCCTAATATTTTCACCTTCTTGGAGTACAATGTGGAGGCTTTTTTCTAGTGGAACACCTCTTGTACAATTTCTGATCTGTGTTCCTCTTACTACTTAAGTTTTTTTTTTTTTTTCTAAAACTTCATGTGACTCTGCTGCAAAGGAAGAATTTTCAAAAAGTTGAAAAACATGACTCTTATACACATATAGAATGAAGATATGTCAAAGATTTATTTAACCCATTAGTGAGGGAACCAGCAAGATGGAAAAATGGGTTCAAAGAACATTTGAGCCAGGTACAGTGGTGCCTGCCTGTAATATCAGCTACTCAGGAGGCCAAGACAGGGGGATCCCAAGTTTGAAGCTAGCCTTGGGCAACTTAGTAAGACCCTTTGTCAAAATAAAAATTAAAATAGGTTGGGGATACAGCTCACTGGTAGAGCACCCCTTGGTTCAATCCCCAGTATGGCAAAGCATACAATCAAGAAAGAAAAAGAGCATTTGAAGAACTATTTATTAAAGGAAGAATGGGGGCTGGGATTGTGGCTCAGCGGTAGAGCGCTTGCCTAGCATGTGTGAGGCCCTGGGTTCGATCCTCAGCACCACATAAATAAACAAAATAAAGGTATTGTATACAAAGAAATAAATATTTAAAAAAAGAAAGAATGTTGTAATACAATTGGTAGGTTAGATTAAAAAATGTTTGGGCCAGGATTGTGGCTCAGCAGTAGAGCACTCACCTAGCATGTGGGAGGCCCTGGGTTCAATCCTCAGCACCACATAAAAATAAATAAATAAAGATATTGTTTAAAAAAAAAAATCCCAGGAACCTTTGGGATTATCTTTTCTCTCTCTCTTTCTGTCTTTTCATGCTGGGGAATTGAATCTGGGGCCTTGCACATGCTAGACAAATACTTTACCACTAAGCTACACCTTCTGCCCAAATTATCTTTTCTACTGAAGATAAATAATTTGCATTTGTAGTAGACAAAAATCTATAAGTGAATGTGTGAGTAAATGTGTGTCTTTACTAGGTCTGGGCCCTGATCAGAGTAAATATTAATTTAAACAAAGAAATATTCCCCTAGATAATGAAATATTCTTTGAATGGACCATTTGGACAATGTTGTCAAATGACATTAAAAGAATATGCAGTGGTGGCGAATGCCTGTAATCTCAGTGACTCCGGAGGCTGAGGCAGGAGGATCACAAGTTCAAAGCCAGCCCTCAGCAACTCAACTCAGTAAGACCCTGTCTCTCAATAAAATATAAAATAAGGCTGGGGATGTGGTTCAGTGGGTGAGTACCCCTGAGTTCAATCCCTAGTAACCCCCCAAAGGATATGTAGTCCTCCTTTTGCCTTATCTCCAAGTTTTAGATGACTTTTTAAAAAATATATATTTATTTTTTAGTTATAGGTGGACACAATATCTTTATCATTTTTTTTTTTTAACGTGGTGCTGAGGGAATGAACCCAGTGCCTCACATATGCTAGGCAAGTGCTCTATCTCTGAGCCACAACCCCAACTCCCAGATGACTTTTTTTGTATGTGTATGTTTGTGGTTGTGATACTGGGGATTGAACCCAGGGACTCCTTACCATGAACTACATTCTCAGCCCTTCTTATTCTAATTTTGAATAAGGTCTTGCGAAGGTACCAGGCTGGCCTCAAACCTGTGATCCTCCTGCCTCAGCCTCCCAAGTCACTGAGATTACAGCCGTTTCCCATTATGGCCATCTTCACACGACTTTCTTTAATATTTATTTTTTTAGTTTTAGGTGGACACAGTATCTTTATTTTACATTTATGTGGTGCTGAGAATCGAACCCAGAGCCTTACGCATGTAGGCGAGTACACTACCACTTGAACCACATCCCCAGCCCACACGATTTTCTTTCTTTTTTTTTTTTTTAAAGAGAGAGAGAGAATTTTAATATTTATTTATTTATTTTAGTTTTCGGCGGACACAACATCTTTTGTTTTTGTATGTGGTTCTGAGGATTGAACCCGGGTGCACGCATGCCAGGCGAGCGTGCTACCGCTTGAACCACATCCCCAGCCCCAACACGACTTTCTTAATACTGCTGTTACACTGGTCTTGTTCCTATTCCCTTCACTAGTATGCATAATTTTTTTCTCTTTCCCTGTTTTTTTATTGGTGCATCATAATTATACATATTGATGGGTACACTCAAATGTTGACAATGAAAAAAGAAAGTCTTAGAATGTGGTAAGGTAGGGGAGAGAGAGAGCCATTTGTTATAGGTTAAACTTGATGTCTCTTGAATATTACAACAATAATAATAGCACTTAAGATTTTTCAAGTGCTTTCCATGTGGTAAACATTAGTGCTTTATATTCATTAATTCATTTTATATTCTCAACAATCCTATTTCCCTTTATAGATGATGAAGCCGAGCCATTTCAGAAAAGTTTAATGACTTGTCCAAGACCAAACCTAGCTAGAAAGTGGCAGAACCAGGATTTGAACCAAAGCAGTTTGACTTAGGTTGGCCTTCATTAGGGGTCAGTAAAGGGATGGAAATGGATGTCAGAGAAAAGAAATGTCTATAGTTTGTCCAAAAGGAGACAAATAATGTGAAGGATTATTTTTAGTACTCAAGGAATAACAGCCAGAGCTCTGCACTTACTCTGCCTTGTGGGTATTGCCAAGCATCTTTCCCAAAAGACAGTCATCTCTATCCAACTAGTGTTTGAGTTTTAGTTGAGGAAAAAGAGAGAAATGTATTGGTATTATAAGGACTATAGTCAGTTCATTTCTTTGTAGGCTTCTTTGAAGTGATAGGTTTCTATTAATGGTGACATTTCTATTTTTTTTTTTTTTTTTTTTTTGGTACCGGGGATTGGTCAGGGGCTTTCGACTGCTGAGCCACATGCCCAGCCCTATTTTGTATTTTATTTAAAGACAGGGTCTCACTGAGTTGCTAATCGCCTCGCTTTTTGCTGAGGTTGGTTGTGAACTTGCAATCCTCCTGCCTCAGCCTCCCTGAGTTGCTGGGATTACAGGTGTGCACCACACCAAATGATGGCTCTTTATCATTTTTATTAAGATAAATAGGAAAAGTAGTCTTACTGGGAGCACATGAAGGGCATGGATTAATCTAGTTGTCTTAATCTCTGTCCTATTGTTAGTCCCTGTCCCCAGATTATCACTTTTCTTTTATTTTTTTAGGGGGGACTAGGAATTGAACCCAGAGGTGCTTAGCCATTGGGCCACATCCCCAGCCCTTTTTATTTTTTATTTTGAGACAGGGTCTCAGTAAGTTGCTCAGGGCCTCACTAAATTGCTGAGGCTGGCTTTGAACTTGTTATCCTCCTGCCTTTCTAGTTGGTAGGATTACTGGATATGCCACTGTGCTCAGCTGTCACTTTGCATTTTTCTTTCCCTTAGATATGGCAAGATTGTCTCCACGAAGGCCATACTGGACAAGACCACAAACAAATGCAAAGGTAAGAGAATACTTGTCCTTGGGGATGGAGAATAGCAGTGAGTGAAGCCATCTTTGCCTCTGAGAGAGAGAGAGGCAAGGGATGGTCTTTGTTGCTGAGAGAGCCTGAGTACCCAGTGCCCAGGAAAAGTCTCTGAGGTTTTCAGGCTCAAAAGACAAGTAGATATTTAGATTAATTGGTGCCAGATGACTAGAGCTGTTTGAGAAGCCAAAGTCAGAATGCTGCACAGAGTTCCTTGAGTCCCTTGGGTCCACTTTGACCTCATGTTTCCCTGGATGAGGTGCTAAAGGTTGGCAGGAAATTTTTTTCTTTTTTTACTTTGTAAAGCAATGTATATGCCTTTTGATTGTGGTGGAAGGATGATTCAGTAGATGTTATTTTCCAAGAATGAGTAGTTTTATTTGGGGTTTTTAGCAGTTCTGAGTGGAGCTGAAGAATGGAAGGAGGAAAAAGGGCTGTGGGTTGGGGGGGTGGGCTTCTTCCAGCAGGTGGCTGGGTGGCCATTTGTCCAGGAGAGGCTATATTCCCCACATGCCTAGCATTTCTGGGGTGTATCTAGGAAAGAAGGCAGGGTTTTCTTTTAGAAGTGTGGAGGAGGGCTGTGGGTTATTAGAAGGCCTAGATCCTAAAATCTCAGATTTTTTAAAGGGGAGGGCAGGGATACCACAAAGACCTCATTTCCTTTGGCATCCTTAACCACAAAGTAGACCCAACCTCAGAGCATGAGAAGCACATGGATAGCTACCTGAAACCTGTTAATTTGTCTTTCTCCCTGCCACTTCCCTTACATGGATCATAACTCTTCTCTGTCTCCTGAAAAGCCTGAGCATCCTACCTCCCTTACACCTCCCACCTCCCCGTGATGCTGTTTCCCTGTTCCAGGCTATGGCTTTGTGGATTTTGACAGTCCTTTAGCAGCACAGAAGGCTGTAACAGCTCTGAAAGCCAGTGGTATACAGGCACAAATGGCAAAGGTAAGGCTGCCACTCCAGTCTATTCCTCCAAGGGGAGTAGTTACCACTAAAGTTCCAGTTCTAAGGCTTCCAGAGTGAAAGCCTTGAAATGCCCCATGAAATTGATAGGCAAGCACTGTCTGTCCCTGGGTCTAGTCAGTCTGGATATGGGTCCATTGAGCATTCCTGGGTATTGGAGCAAGATTGTATTCAGTCTGCGGCAGATAGCTCTGTCCACTCTGTTCCTCTCGCCAAGTTATTATAAGCCTGCAGGAGGGTCAGGAGGCCTCTTGCAATCCTGCTGCCTATCTCCACCCTGGCCCCACTTCCCTACCAGAGGGATTGTGGTCATTTTGCAACATTCTCTGAAGAAGTCTGTTGTGCAATTCAGAGGTTCTGAACAATGCTCTCCCCCTCCCAACACTATTCCTAGTAGGGGCAGGGAGTGGAGTGGGGAGCCAGAGGGAAGCCACAGCAAGGAAGGAAACTGTTTCTCCTGCTCAGATCTGTCTGGAACTGTTTTTGGTCTAGATTACTAGAAAACTAGAAGCTTGTCTTGTATCTTCTCTTTGGTGGGGTTGTCCTCTTGCCTTTCTGAAGCCATCATGAACACTATGTCTAGAATTAATGAGGCAGGACTGCCAGATGCTTCTCTCTGTAATAAAGAAAAAGGAAACCCTGAAGGCAAAGGCCAAAGAGGGGTTAAGGTTGCTGGTGATCACTGCCCAGGGCAGAGTGACTGCTTAAGTTCTTAAAAACAGCCATCAGAAGATACTGCCATTGCTTGCCTTCTGGGGGACCCTCTGGGTCTTCCTTCTGATATAAAGGGCTCTGACTGCAGCTCCAGCCTGTAGGAGCCTTCAGAAGTTTTCAGGATTTGTGGTGACCACTGAGCTACACATCTGGTCCTTTCTCTGTCCCCTTCTCCCCTCTTCCTGCTTTTCTTTCAGTCAGGGGGTGAACAAGCATTCCTACTCCAAGATTGTACTGTGACCGGAAGAGGGGGAGGGGGGCTACTCAAAACAATCCATCCTTGGTGAGAGCAGTCCAAGAAAATCCAGCCTCTGGGGCAGGCTGCTGGGGAGAGGGGGTGCTACTCAGCCTACTTCTTAAAGAGACAGCCAGGTACTATCCATGACTTGTATAGTACTAGAAATGGTAAATCTGTTTTTTGGGGTTTTTTTTTGTCTTATTGGACTGTGTAACAGATAGTTAAGATTCTCTTTGTTTATGTGGAACCCTTTCTACTATCTCTTTTCTGAAATGTCATTTTATAGATGATAGCTGAAAGTAGGAGGGGAATAAAGGATGTGAGCTTTATTTTCTCTCTTTTTTGTTTCCATAGCAACAGGAGCAAGACCCCACAAACTTATACATCTCAAACCTTCCACTGTCAATGGATGAGCAAGAACTGGAGGGGATGCTGAAGCCCTTTGGACAGGTTATCTCCACCCGAATTCTTCGAGACACCAGTGGAATCAGCAGAGGGGTTGGCTTTGCAAGGTGAGAGATGTGAAAGTGGAAAATGATGAGGTTAATAAAGTGTCACTTGGGAAGGCACCAACATCCCCCCACACACACACACCAAGGGACCAAACTATTGGTCAAAAATACTTGACTGTAGGAGCTGAGGTTGTGGCCCAATGGCAGAGCTATCCCCTAGCACGTGCGAGGCTCTGGGTTCAATTCTCAGCACCACATAAAAATAAATAAATAAATAAAAGGTATTGTGTCCAACTACAACCAAAAAATAAGTATTAAAAAAATACTTGACTGTGTGGCTCAAGCGGTAGCATGCTCGCCTGGCATGTGTGCCACCCAGGTTCTATCCTCAGCACCACATACAAACAAAGATGTTGTGTCCGCCCATAACTAAAAAATAAATATTAAAAAATTCTCTCTCTCTCTCTCTCATTCTCTCTTGAAAAAAAAAAAGAAAAAAAAATACTTGACTGTAAATCAGAAGTTTATTTATTTATTTGGTTCAGGGGATTGAACCCAGAAGTGATTTACCACTGAGCTACATCCCTAGCTCTTTTTTTTTTTTTTTTTTTAATTTCAAGGCAGGGTCTTACTAAGTTGCTCATGACCTAACTAATTGCTGAGACTGGTCTTGAACCTGTGATCCTTCTGTCTCAGGCTCCTGAGTTGTTGGGATTATGGGCATGTACCACCACACCCAGCACTGGAGATTAATTTACATTAGTGATTTTCTTAAGCTGTTCCTTAGAGCTGCAGAACTCTCCAGGGTGCCCACTTCTGGACTCAGGTGTCATTGTTTTGAGATTTCAGTCTCTCCCAGCCTACTTAAGAAACTGTTCTGCTTTTATTTATTCTAAGATTGTGTTTGATTAGAGATTCTCTTGCCTTTTTTATTTGAAAGTTACTAGACTAAGTAATCTGAACACACTTTTTTATATAACAATGTCTTGCCTGACCTATGAACACTCCCTTGTTGAACACTCCCTGATTATTGCAGATTTGGGGACTAATGAATAGGTCCTCTTCCCTACCAGGCTCAATCTGGGCAGCTCCACCTGCTGGCAATCCCAGGTAAAACCACAGTGGTTTCTAGGCTTGTCATCACTTTTTTTTTTTTTCCCAGCTCCCATATTTTCTTCTTTGTGGGGTGGGGGGCGGATTGAGTTCAGGGGCACTCTACTACAAAACTACATACCCAGCCTTTTAAACATTTTTTAAAATTTTGAAGACAGGGTAATGCTAAATTTCCCAGGCTGGCCTTGAACTTGCTATTGAGTTGCTTGGTGTTATAGGCATGAGCCACTGCACCTGGCAGGAAAATACTTTTATTTCACTCATATTTACTCTACTTACTCTAGTGATATGTGCCTGTTAGACACTGTACAAATTCTCAAACCGTGGATCCAGAATGGATAACCTCACCCTCATTTCCTGTCGCACACTGGCTTTCTTATGGTACTTGCTTTTGTCATAGCGACTATTGAAAACAATTTTGCAAAATATAATTGTAGGGGAAAGTAATGTCAAAACAGTGGCCTACTTTAAGTTAGTATTTTACACAACATCCAACAGATGTTTCTCTATTTTTCTTCAAGTGTGCCTTTTTTAGTTTCTCACAGTGGCCCAGGATGCATGAAAGTACAATCTGGGAATTGTGGCTTTGAAGACTATAAAAACTATGAAGCTGGGTTCAGTGGCTCATGCCTATAATCCCAGTGGCTAATGAGGCTGAGGCAAGAGGATTGCAAGTTCAAAGCCAGCCTTAGTAACTTAGAGAGGCCCTAAGCAACTTAGTGAGACCCTGTCTCTAAATGAAATATAAAAAAGGACTGAGGATATGGCTCAATGGTTAAGTTCCCCTGGATTCAATCCCTGGTATCACAAAAACAAAACAAAACAAAAAACAATGAAAAAAAAAAAAGAAACAATTATGAATTTTCTTCTGTTTTTATGTTAACATCTATAATTTTTCTTCATACATTTAGATTCTTGCTAAGTGTAATTTCTGTATATCGACATTTTAAGTAAAACTCTTACACGATTTTTAAATGTATCCAAATGAGATCTAAATATAGTAATTTGTTACATAAAATTGTCCCTTTAAAAATGTATGTGCCAGGGGCTGGAGTGGTGGCTCAGAGTGGTAGAGCGCTTGCCTAACATGTGTGAAGCACTGAGTTCAATTCTCAGCACTACATATAAATAAATAAATAAACATCTATTGCCAACTAAAAAATATTAAAAAAGAAAAATGTATGTGCCAGCTGTATACAGTGGGGCACACATATAATCCCAGTGGCTCTAGAGGCTGAGGCAGGAGGGTTTCAAATTCAAAGCCAGCTTCAGAAATTTAGCAAGACCTTAAGCAACTTAGTGAGACCCTGTCTCAAAATAAAAATAAATAAAAGGGCTGGAGATATGTCTCCATAGTAAAGTGTCCTGGGTTCAATCCCCAGTATCAAAAATCAAACAAACAAACAATACTGTATGGACCAGGGCTAAGGATGTGGCTCAGTGGTAGAGTGCTTGCCTAGCATGCATGAGGCCCTGGTTTTGATCCCCAGCACTGCAAACAGCAACAAAAAATATACGGGCCATTTCTTTCTTAATAGTCATACACCTCATATTGTTCTTATAACACTCCTTTTATCTTCTTGATCTTGTGTTTGCATGTCATTTTCCTAGAGACTTATATTTGAGTCTTTCTGTGGATCATCCTTGTTTCCTTTCAACAAAATGTGTGTGTGTGTGTGTGTATAAATTAAAACTTTTTTTCCTTGTGGCCATTAGGCTGTGTGTATATTAACCCATGAGAGAATTATCTTTACAATTATTAATCAACAGGCACACCATACATCATAAATATATTAAAATGTTCATACAAAATTATTTTATATAAAATAAACTTTGTTGAAAATTAATCTCCTATGACATGGATGAGTTTTATTTTCTTTAGATTTTTCTTATTAGGTCATGTAGCCAGCAATGAATATTGTTTGTTGCTATAACAAGTGAGGGCTTAACACCAGTTTTGTTCCTCTTTTTTGTTTTTATGCTGAGAAACCTTGTTCATATAAATGAGTAGATGAGAATGGAAGGGGCTTTGTTACAGTGAGAATTCTTTGGATTACTTCTGAATTATATGCCAAGAACCAAAGTGATCTGTCATCACAATTGATTTTTTTGTGCATTGACAAGTTTCTAAAGTCTTCCAACTTTTTGGAAGCAAATAATTTCCATCTGACTTATAAAAAGGATTTGAAATTTAGTCATTAATATCTGCTGTTGAGTTTTAGGCTGGATAAGAAGTAAATTAAGACAGTGGTTATGAGAAGGGACTTTAGCCTTGACCATTAGCAGTCATGAGTCCTCCTTCAGGCAGATCCCTGGAGGAAAGAGTTTTGAGGAAGTTGAGGTTCTAAACACTCTGCCTACTCATGCTTTGGAAGGACTGTAAGTAGAAGTTACTGAACTGAAGATCACTGCTCTAGAATATCTAACTGATTTTCTCTAAAAATGGTTTTCCCTGAAAGGTTCCACCTGAGGCCTTTTATTTGTATTTTTGGTGTTGAAGATTTAATCCAGGGGTATTTTACCACTGAACTATATCCACAGCCCTTTTTAAATTTTGCCTCTCTAATTTTCTGAGGCTGGCCTTGAGAGGCTGGCCCTCAGATTACAAGCATGTGCCACCACACCTGGCTCCTGGCCCTTTTTACTTATTATTATTATTCCTTTTTTTTCTTTACTGGGGATTGAACCCAGGGACACTTTACCACTAAGCTAAATCCCCAGCCCTTTTTATGTTTTTATTTTGATTCACGGTCTCACTAAGTTGCTTAGGGCCTCGCTAAATTGCTGAGGCTGGCCTCAAAATTGCAATCCTCCTTCCTTAGCTTCCTAAGTCATTGAGATGATAGGTGTGTGCCTTCGAGCCTGGTTTATTTGAGGCTTTCTTAAAGTTGCTTCCTGTAGAGGAATTATTAATGTTTTTAGTGGTTATTGTAATAGAAAGTATACTGACTTAATTTAAATGTGGTAGTAGATGAAGAAACAACATATAGGCCCTTATAATTTTTAGAACACATCTATATACTATATATTATCTCAATCAATCTATACATCACTGATTGAGTTTGATTGTCTCTAAAGCACAAATAAGGAATGGGTCCAGAGGGTTTTTTGGAATGTTCTAACAGAGTTCAGGGTGGTAAACTGGTGCTGATATCTAGATGTTCTGATCCCTTACTCAGTCCTCGTTGCCCAGAAAGAAACTTCAGCCTAGTAGTTCCCAGTATTCCTCTTCCTATTACTATGGACCATGAGCCCTTTATTAACAGATTCCTAAAATCTTAATAATGTCATCAGTAGCTAAGTGGGCCTCAATAGTTATAACCAGAAGCAAAAAATAAATATTGCAAAATCTTAGCTTGTACAGTTTCCTTAGTATAAAGAACAATGTTCATTAGGATTTTTTATTTGGGGGGGTACCAGGGATTGAACTCAGGGGCACTCAACCACTGAGCCACATCCCCAGCCCAATTTTGTGTTTTATTAGAGACAGGGTCTCCCTGAATTGCTTAGCGCCTCGCCTTTGCTAAGGCTGGCTTTGAACTTGCGATCCTCCTGCCTCAGCCTCCTGAGCCACAGGGATTACAGGCATGTGCCATTGTGCCCGGCTTCCATTAGGATTTTATGATAAAAATAATAAAGTCTAGCCAGATGTGATGGCACATGCCTTGGTGGTAATCCCAAACCCTGTGACAAAATAAAAAAAACACTGTGGATATGTCTCAGAGGTAGAGTGCTCCTGAATCTCAAGGAAAAAAAAAAAAAGTTATGAACAGTGGTGCATGCCTCAGGTAGGAAGATCACAAGTTTGAGACCAGCCTGGGCAACTTAGCAAGACCCTGTCTCAAAAAGGACTGGGGCTGTAGCTCAGTGGTAAAGCACCCCTGTTTTAATCTCCAATACTGAAAAAAGGGGGGGGTTGGAGATATAGCTTAGTGATGGTAGAGCCCTGAGTTCAATCCCCAGTACTGCTAAAAATTAAAAATAGTAATTTAACAGCTACTATTTCTTATATTCTTATTTCGGTGCCAGACACAATGATAGGCTCATTTATCAGTGTCCTTTTTTTTTTTTTTTTTTTTTTTTTTTTTAGCAGTGCTTGGGATCAAACCCAGGGCCTTGTTCATGCTAGGCAAGCACTCTATCACTGACTGAACCTCATTCCAATCCCAATCAGAGTCTTTTTTGGATTATTAATAGCTTGAAGACCTCCATTATTTTAGGATTCCTTGCAGGAGATGGTTGAGGGGATCTTCTTTAGATGTTGCATAAGCTGCAGAAACTCTTATGTTTTTATAGTCATAACTTTTGAACTTTTGGGAAACTTAGGGCATTCTCTTTGAATGTGTAGAGAGCACAGATCTTGGAGAAGCTAGAGCCTAACCCCTCTTGTGCTTCTTAGGATGGAGTCCACAGAGAAGTGTGAAGCTATCATCACCCACTTTAATGGAAAATATATTAAGACTCCCCCTGGAGTACCAGGTGAGGCATCTGGGAATCAGGCTGAGAGCCACATGTTGTTCCTTCCAGTTAAGATTCTGGAGGAGTTTTGCATGAGTATGTCTGCTCATTGAGGTGAGACTCAGCTGCCTGTCTACTTTCTGTTTTGCCAGCCCCGTCTGATCCCTTGCTTTGTAAGTTTGCTGATGGTGGGCCAAAGAAACGACAAAACCAAGGAAAATTTGTGCAAAATGGACGGGCCTGGCCAAGGAGTGGAGACATGGTAAGAGGTCCCTGAAAACAGGTTTATTAAGGACATTAAAGTGGAATGGAAATTACTATAGTTTAATTTCTGTGAGCTTAGGTGGCCAGCTTGAGAGCTTTAGGGTGTAAATGAGAAATGCTGATGGCTTAACAAAATCTCGAGTGTGGGTCTTGAGTGAGTGGGGTTCTGCAGCCTTTACAGTTGGAACAACTCAGCAGTTGTAGTGGGACTTGTCCAGAATTTAATTAGTTGAACTTTTTTTTTTTTTAATTTTTTTTATTGGTTGTTCAAAACATTATAAAGCTATTGACATATCATATTTCATACATTAGATTCAAGTTGGTTATGAACTCCCAGTTTTACCCCAAATACAGATTGCAGAATCACATCGGTTACACATCCACATTTTTACATAATGCCCTATTAGTAACTGTTGTATTCTGCTACCTTTCCTATCCTCTGCTATCCCCCCTCCCTCCCCTCCCATCTTCTCTCTGTACCCCATCCACTGTAATTCATTTCTCTCCTTGTTTATTTTCCCATTCCCCTCACAACCTCTTATATGTAATTTTGTATAACAATGAGGGTCTCCCTCCATTTCCATGCAATTTCCCTTTTCTCTCCCTTTCCATCCCACCTCATGTATCTGTTTAATGTTAATCTTTTCTTCCTGCTCTTCCTCCCTGCTCTGTTCTTAGTTGCTCTCATTATATCAAAGAAGACATTTGGTATTTGTTTTTTAGGGATTGGCTAGCTTCACTAAGCATAATCTGCTCTAGTGCCATCCATTTCCCTGCAAAAGTTGAACTTTTTAAAAAACATCCCCAGCCTTGGCATTCTGGTTTTGTTCCTGTTCTTACCCAAAGGTTCACAGTATGAATTCTGTGTTCTTTCCTTATAGGGTGGAATGGCCTTGACTTATGACCCCACCACAGCTCTTCAGAATGGGTAAGTGTCTTTTACATAATCGAGTCACCTGAAAATGACCATGGCCTGTGGATATTTCATCTTGATTTTCAAATAGCAATTAGTGGAAAGTGGCTATGCTTTCATCAGAGGACCTTGGGGTTTCCTGTGACTTTTTACTGAGTAAGGTTCCTTCCTACAGGTTTTACCCAGCCCCTTATAACATCACCCCCACCAGGATGCTGGCTCAGTCTGCACTCTCCCCATATCTTTCATCTCCTGTGTCGTCTTATCAGGTACGTTCACACCCAAAAAAAGGGAGTGGTGATTTTCCCTACCATGTGTTTTAGGTGAAGGAATGTAAGGTGAGAAATGAGAAACAACTTGGTTTTTGTTTTTTTCTTTCTATAAACTACATAAAAATAATGTTACATAAAAGTATAAACTGATGTATGTGTGTGTGCGTGTGTGTAAACAGCATTTATGTCTGTCTGTGTGAACACATGATTTAGAGGCATCCTCTTTCTCTTTTCACCACCGCCACAAGTAAACCCTTATTGATTTCCTTTTGTATAGCATTTCCCATATTTTTCTTCATGCAAACATACACATATGTGTAGGGTTTGGGGAGTTGTGTATTTTATTAAAAATCAGACCATATTAAATATATTTTTATTTTATATTCATCTCACCTAATATGTTAGGCAAATGATTCTCAAAGTGTGGTCCCTGTCCCTGCACTTTTGGCATTACCTGGGAACTTATAAGAAATATGAATTTTTAGACTCTACTCCAGATCTACAAAATTAGAAACTCTGAGAATAAGGCCCAACAAAAATCTGGATTTTAACAAGCCTTCCAGATGATTCTACTGTAGTTGACGTTGAGATCCTTTGCTCTAATTATTTCTTTTTAAATGATTGCCTTATATTTCATCCCAGAATTCTTCTACTCTGCCCCAGTGAAGGATATTAACTTACATTCAGTTTTGCTGCTACAAATAATGCTTTGGAAGCAGTCTTGTACCTGTATTCTTATGGGTGCATTCATTCCTGGGAGCTAGAGTCCCAGGAAAGCACTTGCTAGGTTGAACAGTATATGGATTTTCAGATTTATCCAAGTTGCCAGATTGCTTTCTACAAAAGCTGTGTCAATTCAGGTTTCCATCAGCAATGTTTCCATCACCATTTTTCTCTAACCATAGCTGTCTGCTTTGGAAAAGTGTTTCTTGTCTTGATGAGTGCAGAATACATTGTTACTTTAATTTTCATTTCTTTGACTGCAAGTGAATTTTTTGCTTGTCATATTTTGATTTGCCCTTCCCTGATTGCTGTTCTTCTGATTTGCCCATTTTTCTATTTAGTTATTTGTCTTTTCCCCATCAATTTATACAAACTCTTGATTTAAGTATTCTCAGAATATTACCTTAGTTAAAAATATTTTTTTCCGAGCTTATTCTTTCTCTGTTGATTTTGTGGCCCTGGGACTTTAACTGTGTTCTCTGGGTCATTTAGAGAACTCTCTAAAACCTAGGCACCATACTCAGAGTTTTCTGTTCTGTCAATCTAGTAGGGAAGGAAAGAACATGCATTTCTAACAAGTCCCCAGGTGATTCTCCTGCTGCTCCTACTGTTGGATGGTTCATGGACCATACTGTGGGAATCATTAGTTTTTGCCATATGAAAGTTTTAAGTTTGCCTATTATTAAACATCTCTGGCCGGGCATGGTGGTACACACATGGTAATCCCAGCGACTCAGAAGGCTGAGGCAGGAGGAGCACAAGTTCAAGACCACCTCAGCAATGTAGGCCCTGAGAAACTTAGCAAGACCCTGTCTCAAAATTAAAAAAGGTTAGGGATTGGGCTCAGTGATTAAGCACCCCTGGGTTCAATTCCCTGAACCAAAAACCAAACAAACAAACAAAAAACCCTCTGTGTTATTATTATTATCGTTATTTTGGCACTGTAGATTGAACCCAGGACACTTTACCACTGAGCTACATCCCCAGCCCTTTTTATTTTGAGGCAGAGTCTTCCTAAGATGCTTAGGGCCTCACTAAGTTGCTGAGGCTGGACTTAAGCTTGTAATCCTCCTGCCTCAGCCTTCTAAATTGCTGGGATTACAGGCATGTGCCATTATGCCTGCTCTCTCTCTTTTATATCTTTTAAATTTTGTGTCTTAATTTAAAAAGTATTAGCTGGGTGCAGTGGCATGCTTTTATAGTACACTATATTGTATGTGTGATCTCTAAGATTTTATTTTATTGTTTTTTTTTTTTTTTTAAATTTTTTTGTTGTTGCACATGGACACAATGCCTTTATTTTGTTTATTTATTTTTATGTGGTGCTTAGGTTTGAACCCAGTGCCTCACACATGCTAGGCAAGTGCTCTACCACTGAGCCATAACCCCAGCCCTATTTTATTGTTTTACACTTAAATGTGTAATCATGGGGCTGGGGTTGTGGCTCAGTGGTAGAGCACTTGCCCAGCAGGAGTTAGGCACTGGGTTCAATTCTTGGCACTACATAAAAATAAAAATAAATAAAATAAAGGTATTGTGTCCATCTACATCTAACAAAAAGAAATATTTTTTTAAAAAGTTTAATAATCAGGAACTTATTTTTGTGTATGGTACAAGATAGGAGTCCTTTTATATTTTCCTCCAGAATTTTAATTTAGTCCCAGCACCAAATTATTAAATAATGCATCCTTTTCCTGTTGAATTAAAATGCCCTGGCAACCTATAATATTCATTCTTTTTGTGTATGTGTATGTGGTACTGGGGTTGAATCCAGGAGTGCTCTACCACTGAGCTACATCCCCAGTCCTTTTTATTTTATTTTAATTTTTTTTTTTTTTTTGAGACAAGGTTTTACTAAATTGCCAAGACTGGCCGTGAACTTGAGCTCCTCCTGCTTCAACCTCTCTAGTCACTGAGATCATAGGCATGCACCATGGCACCTGGCTATAAAACATTTTCTGTGTCTGTAGATTTGCCTGTGCTGAACACTTCATACAAATGAAGTCATATGTTGTCTTTGGTGTTTCTTTCACTTAGCATGTTTTCACGTTTCATCCATGTTTTATCAATATCTCATTAATTTTTTGGCTGAAAAATATTTCATTGCATGGATATACCACATCTTGTTTATCCATTTATCATTTATCAGTTGATGGCCATTTGAAGTATTTCTAGCTAGTATGAATAATATTGCTATGAACATTCTTAGATAGATTTTTTAGGGGATACATATGTTTTCATGTCACTTGGGCATGAACCTGGGAGTAGAATTGCTGAGCTACATAGTATCCCTATGTTTAACTTTTTTAGGAACTGCTGAAGTATTTTCCTAAGTGATTGCATCATTTTATATTTCAACATCCATGTAAAACACTTATCTTTTTAATTAGAGCCATTCTCCTGGGTTTGTGTGGTGGTACACCATTGTGTTTTTTATTTGCTTTTGCACCTCTTTCATGTGCTTACTATCATTTGTGTACCTTCTATTGCATATGTTTTTCCAAATCCTTTGTCATTTTTGTTGTTTTGTTTTTTGGTACCAGGAATTGAACTCAGGGGCACTTGACCACTGAGCCACATCCCCAGCCCTATTTTTGTATTTTATTTAGAGACAGGATCTCACTGAGTTGCTTTAGCGCCTCACCCTTGCTGAGGCTGGCTTTGAACTCTCCATCCTCCTATCTCAGCTTCCTGAGCCCATGGGATTACAGGTGTGCACCACCACATCAAGCTCTTTTGCCAATTTTTAATCAGGCTATTTATTGAATAGTTATGAGTTAATATTTTTAAAATAGCTTTTAGTAATGTTTCTATGCTCTGAGGGGGACATTTTTGGGGAACTTTGCTAAACATTATCAGATCATTGATAATTATTATCAGATCATTGAACAATAGTTTCTAGGCAGTTAACATTTCTGTTTGTTTTTGCTTACATCAGAGAGTGACTCAGACATCTCCTCTACAATTACCTAACCCATCTTGGATGCACCACCAGTCATACCTCATGCAGCCTTCAGTGAGTGTTCAGAAGTGGGCAGAAGCAAAAGAGGCAATTTGATGTAAAGAAAAGCAAAGGGCTTTGATGACAGGAGATGTGGGTGTGAGTTCTGGCTCAGTACCTTGTGCAGCCCTTAAATTCTCTGAGTGTTGTTCTTAGATAAGTGTCCCTCCAGACTGATGGGCAGAGTGCCTTTTCCTGTTATATGGCTTGGTTGCTGCTCACTATGGCTTTTAATTCCCAGTATTTAAAAATATCTGTCTTCAGCAGTCCCTTCATTATTACTGCCTTGGGTAACCTCACAGGATACTGCCAACTAACTCTTTTCCTTTGTTATTGCCTCCAGGGTTCAGTTCTGACACCAGGGATGGATCACCCCATTTCTCTTCAGCCTGCCTCCATGATGGGGCCTCTTACCCAGCAACTGGGCCACCTCTCGCTCAGCACCACAGGCACGGTAAAGCCGGGTATTTCCGCTTATTAACTCCTGCAAGGAGTACCTGTGCAGTATTCTTCAGCATAGATACTTATGAATGATAGAGTCACTTCAGTGTCATTGAGGATGCACTCAGAATCGGAAATAAACTACAAAAATAATGATCCATAAGCCAGGAATGCAGTCATTTTTCTCCCCAGACTACCCCTTTTAACTGCTTCCTCGTTACAAAACTAAAATGTTTCTATGTGTGTATTAATTTAAGAGTTAAGACACATTTCCTAGAAATCCTTATCAAAATAGTAACAGAAAGAGCAGATGAAGCACCTCGGGTTTTCTGGGACTTGATCATTCTGTTGTGCACAGCAGGGCTAAAGGGCAGGGAATGCAGTGTGCTGGGGAAACAGCAGCAGGCAGTCAGGACAGAGGAGAGGAAGAAAGAAGGTCAAATTGGAAGAAGTGTGTCTAAGCCACTACCAGAGTGTCTTCAAGAAGCCAGTGCCCAGACCAACTGAATTGACTCTTTGGAGATAGAACACAGGCCTCAATATCTTAAAAAATCCCCCGGGTGCTTTATCTTTCATTTTAAAAATATGCAGTGCTGAGGACTGAACCCAGGGCCTCACATGTGCCAGGCAAGAGCTCTACCACTGAGCCACAACTCCAGCCCTGTCCCCAGGTGCTTTAAATGAACCAAGAGTCATTGCTCTACCTGGTTGATGTTTTTCTTCTAGTATATGCCAACGGCTGCAGCTATGCAAGGAGCTTACATCTCACAGTACACCCCTGTGCCTTCTTCCAATGTTTCAGTTGAGGTAAGAGTTACTTTTTTGGAGTGAAGATAGGACAATGACAGAGGCAGATCTTCCCCTGTCAATTGTTCCTTTTACAATGATGCTGTTTCTGGTTCACAAGTAACTGGTAGCTATATGAAGAGTGCAAGAAGAAAAGACTTAGTGTGTGTTCATGAGTGAGGCCCTGGAGCCAGCTGGTAGTTAATACCAGGATGCTCCCTTGAATTGACTAGTGTGCCTTGGGAGGAAGGCAGGCTGTTTTGAACATAGAAGAACTTCTGAAGTTTTTTCCAAAGTGCCTGTGGTGTTTTACATTCCTTCCAGTGCTGAGGTGCTGTGTGTTGTGAGTGGGTGGGCTGGAGAGGCCTCTCAGCTTTGGGTGGGTTTTATCTAGGCTGCTTTGGAGGGAGCTGAGGAAAAGAACACATAAGATGACTCTCCTTCCTGGATATGGTACAGGAGAACAGCAGCCAACAGAATCAAGTGGCAGTGGATACGCCCTCAGACCATGGGGTCTATTCTTTCCAGTTCAGCAAGTAACACTGGGTAAGAACCACATGTTGGGGAAGTGGGGTGTCCTAAACTAAGAGAGAGCAGCTCAGCCCTGCCTAAAGTGAGACAGGTTCTTGTGCTTGTCTTGCTCCCTCCCTACCCTCTCCCTTGGGATTTCCCTCCCCATCTTAAATAGAAAAGAGTTCTTGGACATGCTCCCAGACTCCAGAGGGTTAGCCAGGTTATGCACCATCTGTAGCTTTGTTAAGGACTAACACTTGGCCATTGTTTTTATAGACCTGGGCCTGAGAAAAGAAATCTCTATGCTCCTGCCCTGTCCTCTTTCTCCATTGCTGATGGAACATAGGGAAATCAGCACATCTTGTGTGTGCTACATTCAAGGAGAAACACACACACACACACACACAGAGACACGCACATTTTTTTCTTTTGCAAAGAAAATTTTTTCTTTGTTTTTAATTGTAATGTACTTTTCTCCTCCCTCAAAGAGACATGTGGCTGGAGCTTTTGAAAAAAGTTTGTTGTCGTTTTGGTTTGGTTTTTTGATATTGGGAATTGAACTGAGGGGTGTTTAACCATTAAAACACATTCCCAACCCTTTTGTATTTTCCTTTTTTTTTTGCTTTTTTTTTTTTTTTTTGAGTTGGGGTCTCACTGTGTCACCCAGGCTGGCCTCTAATTTTTTTTTTTTTCCAGAGCCAGGGACTAAACTCAGGGCCTTGCAAGCACTCAAGCGCTCTGTCACTGAGCTAACTCCCCAACCTTCTTCTTTCTTTTTTTCTTTTTTGAGACAGGGTATCCCTGTCTCAAAATTCTGAGACTTAGGGCTTTAGGCTTATTGCTAAGGCTGGCTTTGAACTTGGATCTTTCTGCCTCATCCTCTGGAGTTGCTGGGATTACCGGCATGCTTTACGATGTACAGAATGTTTTGTTATTCTTAAAAAAAAAAAAAAAAAACAAGCTGGGCACAGGACACATGCCTGTAATCCCATCCCAGCTACTTGGAAGACTGAGGGAGGAGAATTATAAGTTTGAAGCCAGCCTGAAGAACTTAGCAAGACCCTATCTCAAAATTAAAAATAAAAGGGCTGGGGATTGCAGCCCAGTGGTAGAAGAGTCTCAAGGGAGGTGCTTTTACCCCCAGAGACCATTGCAGTTATCTGATGACATTTTGATCCCTGGGTTCAATCCCCAGTACACAAAAAGAAAACAAATAAAATTACCGTGAAGATGCAGTGCTAGGGGCTGGGGCTGGGGCTGGGGCTGGGGCTGGGGCTCAGCTGTAGAGTGCTCACCTAGCATGCCTGAGGCACTGGGTTCCATCCTTAGCACCACATACAAATAAAGAAATAAAAACATTGTGTCCATCTACAACTAAAAAAAAAAAAAAAAAATACAGTGCTAGAACATTGATAGAGGAAATCCTAGTTGCTGGTTCCTTTATGATCTTTTTTTGATATATGTCTATATGTTTAAGAAAATATATAGACATTAAAAATTTGGTTCTTGTAAAGCTATCAGTTCACATACCCCTCTTCACATGTTTTTTGCTTTCTTTTACTCATTCAGATTGTTCTTTTTCTCTTTTCCATACAGCTAACCCTGCCTACTTTGTCTTTTTATATTTTTAAATTTTATAAATATCCTTTTTAAATGAAATTTTATATGGAATTTTGGAGGCTGAGCAAGGAATAGATGTGGCTTTCCTCCTGGCCCTACCACATCCTGGGAGAAGAGACTAGACTTTGCCTTCAGGAAGCAGAAATGTGACCTAAATTCATTTGAGAGATGAACCACAGCTTTGGGATTTACTCGTGAAGCAAATTTGGTTGAAGACTAGGTCTCGCAATCTCCGGAAGGATGGACTGACTGACTTCTGACTAGCTCTTCTCACTGCAGAGTCTGTTACCCTCTGAGGAAGGTGTCTTTTCCGGTGGCTCCAGATTTTTCAGAATGCCTGCCATCCTGCCTCCTGGTGGATCTTTTCTGCCCAGGTTGCGTGGCCTCTCTTTCTGCTGCACGTTGCTGTGCTCCAGGCCTTTGTAGCTGTGACCTTGCTGCAGAGCAGTGTGTCTCAGGGGAGGTGCTTTTACCCCCAGAGACCATTGCAGTTATCTGATGACATTTTTGATTGCTATGCCTGGGAGTGGGAGTGTGTGTATGCTATTTGCATCTAGTTGCTAGAGACCAAGGATGCCACTAAACATCCTACAATGTAAAGGAGAGCCCCACTATGCCCAGCAAAGAATTATCTAATTTCAAAATATCAATAGGGCCAAGACTGAGAAACCTGGATGTTGACAGTGTTCCCTGACTTCTCGGCTGAGGTAAATTCCCACCCAGCCCTGGACACACAGTGCCCTTTAACACTCATGCAACTGGTTTGGATGGATGGAATTGGTATCCTTGAATTCTCCCTGGACTCCAACCTTTGACACTTCTGCATGTAACAAGAGCTGTCCTTGTAAAGCTCATGGCTCTTGTGCACATGCTAAATACACACACACACACACACACACACTTTGAGGGAGGAAGGTACGGATTGTTCTGTGGATGCTATGCAGGGATGGGAAAGGAGTTTTCTGTAACCGTAGAGTGCTCTGCCCTTCCCTGCTGTGTTTAGACCCCTTCCCTAGGGAGTCAGAATATTGGGAATAATTTTCCTTCTTGTTGAAGGACCACAAAGAGCTAGGGTAGAAAAATGAAGTACATCCCATCTCATGATTTATAAGGTCAGATCTTTATAAATAAAGACTCTAGCTCTGTCAGATGCAGTGGCACAGGCCTGTTATCCCAGTGACTAGAGAGGTGGTAGCTTAGCAAGATCTTGTCTCAAAGTGAAAAATAAAAAGGACCAAAGATGTATGTAATTCAGTGGTAAAGCACCTCCAGGTTTAATCCCTGGTACCACAAAAAACAAACAAACAAACAAACAAAAACAACTTATTTTTCTCACATCAAGATAAACAGGAAAAAGCCTTTGCCCATCTTCTGGAAAATAAGATCCTACTTCTGTCTTCTTCCAGTCACTCGCTCATGTATCAAAAGGAGAACTCTATTTCCCTTTACTCAGAGACCAGGAGGCATCTGCACCAGACAAAGCAAATAATGGAGATGGATAAATAAGTGTTCATGGGCTGGTGTGGAGAAAAAGAGAGGATAAAAGCTGGAAGAGAAACTGAGGTGTCAGTGGCTGCACATAGAGCTAGGCCCAGCTTTTCCTCCTTTCCCTCTCACCCCATAATTGAGGTCTTCCCTGCCATCAGTCTTTGTACATCCTGGGGATAAAGGAGTTGGGGGCAGTGGGTAGGAATACAAAGTGTAAAGAACAAAATTGCCTCTGTTTTCTCATTGGTGCTTTCAACCCCAGAAAAGTCTTATCCAGCACAAAAGCTCCAAGTCCATTAACCCTCCAGGAGGGTTTGGCTTAGCAGACGGTGCTTGCTTTGTCTCTAACCTTCAGTAAAGTGAAATATTCCAGAGCTGCTATCTCATCAGTGACCTTTCAGAAAAAGAGAAAACAACCGGGTGTGGTGGTGCACACCTGTAATCCCAGCATCTTGGGAATCTGAGGCAGGATGATTCCAAGTTCAAAGCCAGCCTCAGAAATTTTTCCAGGCCCCAAGCAACTTAGTGAGACCCTGTCTCAAAACATAAAAAGGGGTGGGGATATGGCTCAGTGATTAAGCACTGGGTTCAATACCTGGTACTGGGAGAAAAAATCCAGAATTCTGTTTATTTAACTGATGGTAGATTGGGGAAGTTTTGCTGTAGGTTTAATATTTGGGGCTGCCTTTCCTGCATAGGAACTGGTGTGGCTGTCTCTGCTGACCTATCTCCCCAAATCCCTGATTCTGTCTCCTTTCTCTGTATTTTCTAAATTTTTTAAATGGCTATGATTTTTACTTTGTTTTAAAATATTGAAGTTACCTTTTTTGGTTCTCCTCATATGAACCTACCATTGAGAGAGCGCTTCTGGTTTGGGCAGGTTTGAGGACAGGAAGTAATTGAGAGCCTGCAGTTATTTTTGTAGTGGTTAATGGCACTGAGGAATTTCTTTTTGGTGCTTTTGATTTATACTCCTACTTTCCCCACTAGTTGTTAGTTCATTTCTAACAGTGGGTAGTAATTGGAGAAAGGATAGAATAGGAACTATTTCTCCCATGAATTGGTGAAGATTGGTCAGAGTGGGCAGCGGGTAGAGGAGCCAGTCTTGGACTGCGCTCTTTAGTGTTTTCTGAATCCTGTCTTCCTGGAAGCCACATCTTACACTCTCTGTACTTTCATCTCACCCCCACTCATTACAGATGCTCATAACATTCTTAAAATATTTTAGTACTTTGTGCTTTTCTGTTTTCAGTCAAATAGAACTTACGAGTTTCTTCCTCAGATGGTGTAATCCTTTACTAGGCTCTAGGCCTGCCTATCCCATTTCATGTCAGTGTTACTATTGCTCTTTTCAGGCTCTGAGTAGATATCCTGACCCTAGACTATTTGGACTCTTTGGAGGAGGGTGCAGGTAGAGGTTAGGAAGGTGTGGGAATGATGATGGATAGGTTTGTTATTTTTAGTGTTTTCAACCAAAGCAGAGGTTAAAGCCTGGTGGCTCTGAAGAGGTCATAGCCCTTGTTAGTAACAGAGGTATTATTTGCACTAAGGATGAGGACAAGACCTGCTGCACAGGCCATTCCTAGTTGAGCCACTTCAGCCCCATTCCATTCCTCTTCCTTTTCTAATTTGCTTAACAATGAGCTCATTCATCCCCCCTAATGCCTCCAGTGTCACCAGGCTCTCCTTGCTACTCCAATATGTCAACCCACTGGGGCTGCGACCTACCTATGGGATTTTACTTTGCCATAAAGATGCTGTGAGTGATCTCAGTGGAATGTTGCAGGGATCCCTGACATTGACAATTATTGGTCTTCTGGAAAAGGAACTATTGCTGCTTAGGCACATGCCCCACCTTCTGGGAAGTAGCAGCATTGCACACATTGAGGGGCTACTTTGCCTTCTTAGCCAAAAAGTTGGGGGTATGATCAGGTCCCAACCTACCCCTATCCTCTGCTAGACCTGGATCTGTGGACTTCAAAGAGGGTGGGGGTTATAAAAGCCAGCCTATAGATCCTAGATCTTGTGCCTTGTTATACCAGTTCTTCCTGATTTCCTTTTAAACCAACCACTCCATTTCCATGTGACCCATTTTTTAGGGCTTCCCAAGCATTAGCAGATTCCTGAAGTTTGCTCAGCTTTTACCCTTTCCTTCCATTGGACAGTCTTCCTCTGTGGCTAAAACCAGCCTATAGTGCTGTCTCCCCTGATCTTTGCTGAACCTCCCTATAGGTGTTCCCCATGTTTGAAACGAGACAACTACGTGCTCTCAACACTCCAGTTACCACTGCTTTCTCCCTGGCCTGTCCACTTGTTTTGAATAAGCATTCATTATCCAAGTAGATCCCCAAACTTCCTTGTCCTTGTTACTCATCTACCTCACAATCTCTCAATTAAACAAGGGCACAAGCACCTGACTTACATCTTTTCCTGTTGTTCTCTTCATGAGGGTTAGAAAACTGGGGACTAGAAAGGACTCATGAACAAATCCAGTCTTTGGTTTTTCTACTTCTGGAATGTCTTCTCTGGGGGTTTTAGCTCACTAACTTTTTAGGTAGGTCTCAATGTGGCACCACCTAAGGTAACAACAGATTGTTGGGAGTTACCCCAGGACCACCATTAGAACAGAGCTTAGAACTATAAAATTAATCATTGGCTGCCTCATAGCAGAGAAGGTAACCAAACACCAAAGAGTTTTATAGGACTGGAAATAGATGTTCCTTTTCCACCTTAACAGTTATCTTTCTTAGAGGGTTCAGGAGAAAAAAATGCCCAAACTAAAGGGTTACCTAGTTAAGACTTTTACAGCCCGAGTAAATAAAAGTTCCTACCCCATCACTGGTGTCCCAATTTCCCCAACACATACCCTTTTTGGATGGATGAATACTTACTACATGCACTTATCACCTTGAAATAAGTTTAATTTATACTTAAAAACACATTTTGTACTACAATTTTTCCTTTATCCAGAGACTTCTAGTTTTATATTCTTCCCATGTTGTGCCAATGCCACCCTTTTAGCTTATTCTTTTCTGACCCCTGGTCTTCCCATGTTGCTTTCTTACAGTTTGGTAGAGATTCATTTTGTCAACATTTTTAATAAAACACAAAAGTCTTGTTTTGGTCTTATCCATGGGTGGGAGGGTATGCTGCTACAGGAAATAAGTGGCAGCTTAGGAAGGTAAGGCATGCATCTTAAAGTGGGAACAGAGCATGCGGAAACTCATTTACCCCAGTGCCTCAGTTAAGACTTTGAGGCAGGTCTACTGAAGCAGAAGGTATGAAACAGGATTCCTGTTGCTTAGGGGTTAGTGATAAACCTGCATCTTATATACCAAACCAGTCATGCCTATCCTAATACACATTCTATCCCCAATATATGTGTGAGAACATGATGAAGTGCCCAGACTAAAGGGAAGAGAAATACACAGAGCCTTTTGAATCTATCAAATGTGGTTTTTATTCAACTGACAAGCACTTTTCTACAGCTGCACTTGTGGAACATCACATGGCAAAAACAGATTTTTTCTCTAGACTTTTTTTTTTTTCCTTTTTAAACCTTATTAAAAATGAGATTGGTCCTAAAAATATAGAAAGAAATAAATTTAAATTCACAAAAAACTGTACATTATCAAAAAGTCACTAAAACACCACATTTGGTTATATAAAAAGTCAGTCCCTTTTGTTGTAAAAGGAACATGGAAACTTGGTGTAGATGGTGTGGTTTCTTGCTGTTACCAGACTGATAGGGGAGGGGAAACAAAGGGGCAGGGGGGGTGGGTTGTCTTTTTATTTTAACCTGCCTTCCCTACCAAATACTCTTGACCATAGAGAAAATCCACCTAGCTCAAGGGGCAGTGAAGATGAGGAAAGAAAAGTAAGAAATGGCCCCTTTGATCACCCTTATCCCCATCCCTCCTTCAGCCCCTACTTTTCAAACTACTCTCGGACCCACCCCATCTTAAGAGTGCCTGGTCCCTAGGAAAAGAGATGGAACTGGGAGAGGAACACAAGCAAGAACAAATGAGACTTCACTCCCCCTATCCACCTCACCTCCAACAAAATTAATCTAGTACATTTTATGCCAGGGGAAAACTGCCATGGGAAAAAAGAGGAGTCCCCAACTATAACAGTTCCAAATGTCTAACACAAAGTTTGTTACAGCGCAGTTATTTAGATAAAATATAAATATTTATGCATAATATAAAGTCAATTCAAATATTCTTCAATCCACCTCTTATTTAAAAGCAAAAAAAAAATCTCAAAATAAAATTAAGTTTTGAGGTTTATCTGACAGAAAAGGCGACTTTAGAAATAGGCTATGGGGGAGAAGGGATGTTAAAGGAATAAGAAAGGGGCTGCCCTAGGACCTACACTGCCCCCCACCCCCATCAGTGGCTCTTCAGTGCTGCCAGAAGTACAAGGAATGCTCCACCTCACCTGGCACCTTCCACCCAATGGAACATTTCTTGGATGCCTCAGCTCTCTGCTTAGGCCAGCCAGCAGCCACCTCCCCAGTGCAAGTACCCGTAATCTCTGATGGGAGGGGCTCTGCTGAGCAGGAAAGCAGGGGGCCAGAGGCCCATGGCTATAGCTTGGAGTTAGCAGCTTTCCGCTCACATGTTGGGGGCTTAACTTAGGCATAGTCACATGAAGGGCAGTGGTGGACCCAGAACCCCTCCTGTGCTCCAGGGTCTCTGCTGCTGGGGAAGGAGTCCTGGGGGATGAAATAGATG